GGAAAGACAGTAAGATACTTCCAGTCTGCTAACGAACTGGAAGTTGAGCTACAGCCCAAGTTCACATCATTATTCCTGCAACAGTCTTTGAACCTGAAGAGGAATAGTGCAAAAGGCTGAAAATAAAACCAGCATCAAGTGGTTCATCTTTTCATAGTATCATCAGATTCTACATCCACAAATACATTGCTCTTGTAGCACAACCACAGGTATTTTCTTGCAGGACATATTACCTTACAATCACTGATGCTGTTGTACACCTGGTTGAACTCCCGATTGAAGGTGTGAGTCAGGAGCTGCAGACACTAAAGGGGGAAAACAAAGAAGACAAAGAAAAAGAATTTTACATTTAGATTTCCAGAGAATTTTGAACACAAGAGGCAATTTGCCAAGACACACTTGGCAGCTCGTGAAAGAATGAACAAATCCTAAACTGCTGTGAAAAATCCCAGAAGAAGAGGGGAATAATCATTTCCCTTGATAAAGTGAGTTTCATTTAGGGTGGTCAGGCATTGGAATATTGCCCAGGGAGGTGGTGGAATCACCACCCCTGGAGGTGTTTAAGAGGTGTTATCTGGCACTGGATGGTGTGGTTTGGGAGTTAGTGGTAGTGTTGGTGGATTCTAACCTTACCTTGATGGTTCCATGATTCTATGATCTACAGAACCCCTCATGAAGGAGGCAGAGCCATAGCACAACCCTAGCCAGCAGCACTGGCTGTGGAATGGATTCGTTCGCTACAGAACACACCAAAACAAAACTCTCCCAACACTGGGTATTCCTTGTGCTATCTGAGAACCTCATCATTAATCCCTGGCCCTCAGTGCATACACCTTGATGGTTCCATGATTCTATGATCTACAGAACCCCTCATGAAGGAGGCAGAGCCATAGCACAACCCTAGCCAGCAGCACTGGCTGTGGAATGGATTCGTTCGCTACAGAACACACCAAAACAAAACTCTCCCAACACTGGGTATTCCTTGTGCTATCTGAGAACCTCATCATTAATCCCTGGCCCTCAGTGCATACCCTGGTGGCTCCCTGAGCCATACCTTGGTGGCCAGCTCCTTCTCCCTGTCCACCAGGCTCTCAATGTCGGCCGAGTCGTAGCCGCTGCTCTCGCTGGGCGTCACGGCACTCTCGAACGTCGTCGTGGAGATCTGGGAGGAGATGCTGGTGGAGGTGCTGAGGGTTCCACTGCTCATGCTGGGAGACAAGGAGTCACTCAGGGACTTGGGGATGCTGTCACCAAGCTTCTCACGAAGCAGGAGGAAATGTCGAGTTTTTTCCACCTAGGAAGGGAAGGAATCAGTATCAGCTGCTGCAGGATGATGTCTGTGGCACAGGCACTGAGTTCTTACCCATCCTTTTAGTATTTGTACCAGCAAACATCTTCCCCAGGGAAGGGAGGCACTAGAAATGGAATCTGCCTTTGTTGAACACACAGAGTCTGAGCTGAAGCTTCTACTCAGCAGCTGTCCTGGTTTCTACCTTCTCTGGGAGAATGCATTCAAACCTTGACTTTGATCTCTTCCCTCACCTCATGCAGCAGCTCCAGTTTCTCCAGTTCCCACTGATGCTCCAGGATGAGGCTGTCACCCCTGGGCCTCCAGCCTGCCAGGTTCTCTTCTCCACGCACATAGGCCACAGATGTGTCCAGGACTTTCCTCCTCCTCCTCTGCATTCCTGAGCAGCAAAACCCAACATGAGACACATGAACAGCACAGCCAGAGGGAAGTCACCAAGAAACAATCAGCAGTCTGCAAAGAACCAACACTTCTGCTGTTTGGCTGGAAATACACAAACAAGGACTTCATTAACTGCAATTACACACTCCAAAGGGATTTGATTTAGTCTAGATTTCTTACTTCACTCAGATATTTTCTATTGACCAGGATACTTCAATTGCTATGTCTCAGAGGAAAAACAGACTGATTCTACATGAACTCCATTGCTCCCCAGTTATGACTCTTGCACTAAGCACCAGCAACACCTTCAAAAGGCCAAGAGAAAATTTTCCTGCTGCAAAACCAAGTCTCAGTCGTTAGTGATGAGCTAGGTAATGTGACCCTCACTCTGAGGCTCAGGTACATGCCCAGTTTCCTGACACACATGTCAGAACTGTCAAGTTCTCAGAGAATCCTCCTTTACCAATGGTAAACACAGACCTGAGCCTAAAGCAAAAGTCTGAGTATGTTTTCTCTGGAATAGCAATGTTCCACTGCTCCTATGAAGCACAGGAACTGTTTCCCATCACACAGAAGTGTTTATTCTGTTCTGCCTATGAATTTTTTTCTGCAGTATTTGGCATTTATCACTTGAACACTCAGCCACAGCTCACCTGGACTTCCTGTGTCTGCCATTTTGCATAAGCTGAGCTCATAGATCCCAGTTACTCTGTTGCTGTTCACAGGAAAGCAGAGGGAAAAAAACACTATTACCTTCAGAAATAAAGTGGACACTTATCCCCAGAGTAGAAGTTTAAGTATAGTTGTTAGTAAGAACTAGATCTGAATTCTAATCTGACACAAAATAGACAGACTGCAAGTCCCCAAAAGTGACATTTCCCCCTTGTTCCCTCCCACCCCCCACTGGACACGGAGAGCAGCTGCTGTTCCAGGCCAGGATCAAGACCATCTATTGCAAGCTTGAAAAATGGAAGCTCTTCCCAACTGTCAGTCTGGAAAAGAGGTCAGTAAAGAGAGAAACCATCAGAGTTCCACTGAAATAAATGCAAGAAAGAATGTTCAAAACCAGACTGGAGAATTAGGCTAGGGAGAGTATCAAGGAAGAACTAAAGAAAGCAAACTAAGCTATATTCTCCCCATGCCCTCTAAGAGAAAAAGCACATACTGACATGAAAGATCCAGACCAAAACTGGTAACTGGACTTACGAGTCTGGAGATTTGGAGTAGCCACTGCCGAAGAGATTGCGCAGAGACCGCGGAGGGGAGATCTTGGCATCTCGGGAGTAGAACACCATACAGACATCCTTTGTGATCACAGCAGGCTGGATGCAGTGGTCAAGCTAAGAGGAAAGCCAAAAATGAATGAGTGGCTGCAGACAACTGTGCCCAGTGGGACAGCTCGGGGAATTTGTTGGGTCTCTGGTGAAGGGTTTTCATGTGTGTTTCTGTGAAAGAACTGTCACATTTCTTGAGGTATCTTGTGGGTGAAATGCTTGTACTACACAAAACAACAGTGTCTTGCACACAAAGCCAAGAGCTAGGCTGGTGTTTGGAACAGCAGGATGACTTACATAGCAACTTTCACCAATTTCAATGGATTTTCACAGAATCCTAGAGTGTTAAGGGGTTGGAGTGGAGCTTAGAGATCATCCAGCCCCAATCCCTGCCCTGGGCAGGGACACCTCCCACCAGAGCAGGTTGCTCAAGGCTTTAGCCAACCTGGCTGTGAACACTGCCAGGGTTGGGGCAGCCACAGCCTCCCTGGGCAACCTGGGACAGTGTCTGCTCACTCTCACAGGGAAAACAGGTTGGGGCAGCCACAGCCTCCCTGGCAGCCACAGCCACTGGCCTACCTGTGCCAGTGTCTCCTCACTCTCCCAGGGAAAACTTCTTCCAAATACCTAATCTAAATTTCCCTCTCTCAGTTTATCCCCATTACTCCTTGTCCTGTCACTACAATTCGTAGCACAGACAGATCAATTGAGGCACAGACAGGTGAGCTCACCAGTCTCACTCCACATGTGTTGTGAGGCAGTAATACCTTGACAACAAGGTGTTAACTGTGAATAAATCTTTCCACCCTCTTCTCAGAAAATGCATCAAGACTTTCAGTGGCTTCAGGATTCAAATCACTTAGCCCAGTAAGTATTTATCTGAGGTGCACACTGCTGTCTCAAATAATTTACAGCAAAAAAGAAGGCACAGGTGTCTAACCTCCAGGTAGGCAGAAAGGGTCATATAGATCTTCTCTCCATAGGGTGTCACTCGGTTGAGGAGCAGGGAGTTGTGCAAGGAGCTATCCCAAACTGCTTCAAACCGATAGAAAGTCCTGGAAAAAAGTACAGTACAGGCTCAATAGTAAGAGCTCCTTTGCATCCCTCTCAAGGCTCAGTGTAAAGCAACTTTCCCCGACAACATCCACTATGACTCTCAGTCACTTCAGATAACCCATACTGGAAGCATAGATCTTGTCTTTTTACCCCAAGATTCCTGACTCCTACCTCAAAAACTGTGGCATAAGAGACCATTGCCTGTCATGAAAAAGGCTCATCTAAAAGACACAAGAGGGAATGCAGAGGAGAACAAAAGCTGCCAGAGCACTGCAGGGAGTCAGCACTGCAGAACATTGTTTCTGGACAGACAGAACTCCTTTCTATTGCTTCAGGTGCAATTCAGCCCAACTGAACCTTCCAACTGAACCTTCTTTTCTATATCAACACTCATCCTGCACCATATTTTAGGACTAACACATAGCAGCAGAGGAAACCCCTCCAAGTATGTCTTACCAAACCAGCAGCTCCTGAAGGAAACCACAATGACTGACAGGGTTAAGTCCTACACTCAAGCTGTCAGTATTTTTTTCCATGTCCCTAACTAGCAGCTCTAACACAAACTTCTGTAAGAAGTTCCTTCAGTTTGGTACACGGAAGGAAAGGAGCTGAAGGCTCCCATAGTTCTACCCCAGCAACCAGGAAAATTCAGCTGTTCCAGTAAGGAGTGAAAGGCATCACAGACAGCACAGCTAAATCACCAGATCTAAGGCATTGTTACACTCTGTCCTCTCAAGCAGGAGCTTAGAAAAATGAGCTTTCTCCTCTCCCACAGGCAGAGATTGATTTCAGGCAATTCCCTTTGGAAAGAAGAGCTATTCCCTTACTCAGGAATTCAGCACATCTTTCCACACTGGGAACACAAAAAGAAGTTATTAATTCTTCATCACCTCCATATAATTTCCCTCCCAAATCCCTTTGTTGTTGATGTTTTCCATCCCATTTTGAGTCCAAATGATGTGGTACTAAAATCAAGAAAGTACTTCATGCATATGATTTATTTTCATTAAATTCTCTCTCTAAAAAGTTTCTGTACTAATGCCCCAACTTGGAAAAACAGAAAATTAATCTAAAGACAAAGGACAAAAAGCAGGGTGGGGGTGGGAGAAACAAATAAAAACAAATAACAAAACCAGAACAAAAGGAAACATGGAGCAGCCTAAGAACAGACATGACAGAAAGAGAGTTCTGATCTCAGTGGAGCTCCCAAGGATTCCCTTTTCCTGACACCAATTACACAATTCCAAGCTAACAAAGAGACACCACAAACTGAAGTGAAAACACTGCTAAGCACAGTTTGCATTTGAAGTAACACACTTGGGAAACAACTTCTAAACATTCTGCTGCTCCTAAAATGGTGCAGAAAAATATATTCTAAAGGCCAAAGTAACTGGTGCCTTTAAAAGCACTGAAATCTAATACCCCTCACTTGAGTTAGACTAGGCAAACAGCACAGGTTGTTCTCTAACTCTTTACAAATCTGTGCTGTGTCCTTATGTGTTAAACTTTCTCATGTCTTAGTTAAGAAAGCAACTCTTAAGACTTGTAGCAAGCTCCAGATCTACCATCAGGGAGGAAAGGCAAGCAGTAAAACCTGGTTCTGCACAGATGGCAAAGTCAGTGCACACAGCCCCTGCATTAGCTTTGCACCATGAGCCAAACACGACTTCCCACCATGGAGAAGTCACAGGTGTAAATGTTCAGCAGAGCTGAACCACATGCTCCTCTTGAGCAAAACGATGATTTGGGGCTAAACACCAAGTTGAAGTCAAGTCTAGCTTTGAGGCAGTTACTCTAGTGGGTTTTGTCTAGCCAGGAAGTTAAATACACACAGCCTTGTCTGTCCAGGCCAGAACTTGCCACAATAGTTACAGAGGGAGACAAAAAACAGAAGTGAGCAAACTCCTTTCAGCACAGCCAACAGCACCAGGAGGAAGAAGGGGCACAGAACAGGCAAAGCACAGAAAACAGGAGAAACAGGTTAAAGGCAGCAGTGTGTAGTTAGAACTGACTCGAGTGGATTTTAGCATTACTGAAGGGTGGGGAATTGAGAGTATTGAAGATAAAGTCTTTTTTTTTTCCAAAGAGGCAGAGCACAGAAAGCAGAGTGCAAACTGCCCTAGACTGCACAGCCAGAGTGCCTGGCTGTGATCCCACCTGGAAGGTGAAAGAGGAATCCAATCTGAGCAGCTACTGATGTCTGATTTCTCTGCCAGCTGGGAAAGTAAGAAGTAGCAACCACATGGTTAAATTTCAGATGCAAATGAAACCCCAGAACAGAGGCTGAATGGCAGTCACATGGCAGCCACTGCTTTTTGTTCAGTGCAATTCTGAGCTGGAATTTCAAGTAACCTCATCATTCAGTCCTTGGCTTGGTACTTCAAACACTGAGAGCATTACAGAGTCAGAGACAGGGAGAAATTCCAAATTTAGGTCTTTGATACAGAACAAAGGAAGGAAACACAAGGACTACAAATAGGGACTATATTTGATGGCACATTTAGAGAATCTGAAAGGCTCAGTGAAGGGAACTCTCTTTACATGTGAAGGAAAAGTTCACTTTCACAAGTCCCCCAGTGACCTGCACCTGAACAAACCCCTGACACAAGGGAGGAGGAGGAGGAATACTACTGCTGGAAAAGCTAAGAGGTGTGCTAACAGAATTCAGTAAAAGCTAAGGGGGGAATGGCAGCAATACAAACAGGACATAAAGCTTTCTGTCTTCCAGAACCTTTATGTGCAAAGGAAGCAAACAGAAAATACCTAGGCATATCCTTATCAAGAAAGAGCCTGTAAAAACATAGAAAGAGCTTCAGTTAGTGCAGCCAAAAGCAGAACAGTAAAGCAGAAGCTGAGAGGAATAGAACAAATGGACTTAACAAAACAAAACAAAGCAAAAAAAAAAACCCACAGGAAGCAGCAAACAGTCTGCAGACAATGAGCAAACAAAGACACATCCCTCAGCAGGGCCTCAATCCCACTCCACCACACTGCCATGCACTCCTCCCACGGCTTCAGCCTCTTGGGGAAGGGATGCTCAACAGCTTCACTCACACTCCTGCTCCCAAGTGATCCACCTTACAGGAAACAACAGAGCTGTAAGGGAATCTGTGCTAGAGAACAGAAAGCACAGAGTTTTCCAGCTGCAAACCCAACAGCATCAAGGCTGGAAACCAGCAACAATCCCTCACATTCCATTACACTCATCCACTGATTCAAATACATTCAGATTGTCACTTCTCAGTGGGAGACAAAGAACAACTGCTAAACCCCCTGTCCCTGCCTGCCCTGACAGACACCAGGTGGCAGAGACATTCCCTTGCTAGGAGCAGCATCCCAAATCCACCTTTAACACTGCAGTGGTGGTTCAGTCCAGGCCTCTGACAGAGGGAAGAAGCCATTTCAGTGCCTCCAGCACTGCAGCAGAGATGGGCTCCAAACCCTCCTCCCCTCTGCAAACACTCCTTCAGAGCTCCACTCCAGAGATATTCCTGCTTTGCACCAGCTGGGCAGAGCCCTGGAGTGTCAAGTGACTGGGCTGATGTCAGAGCAGGGAGAGGCTGTGCCCCACGCAGCAGTTCTGCCTCGCTGCCCTTCGTGGCACACACTGGAGCAGAAGAATGTGGAGTCTGAGCTCCACAGCAGTGCAGACTAATGAAGGGACACACTGGGCCCTGCTGCTGCTCAAGTGGCTGCACCTCCATGGAACAGGCCTTCCCTTACCAGATCAATCTGTGATACAGCTGTATAAATCCACAGATTCTCAAATTGGCTTTACAAAGCATGGATGGCTCCAGCCTAAATTGTGCTTCTTCCAGGAATGATATGGGTATTCCATAGCTATAAGTATCTCTCCCAAGATTGGCCTTGTACTCAATGCTGTATCCTAGCACCAAAACTTGATGTCAGGTGAAAAGTCCTGGGTTAAATCCCTTAGGCTGTTCCTTTCCATCCTCCCTGTAAGGCCCTTACACATGGGAAGTAACTCAGATGCATGAGCAACAAATCCTCCATGCAGATCAACAGCACCAGCAAGAATTTATGGGAATATTCATTCCCCCCCCCGTTAAACAGCACCAGCAAGAATTTATGGGAATGTTCATCCTCCCCCTGTATGTCCTGTGCTCATGGAATTCTACATTTACTCATTAGCCACATTCCCAGCTTTCCAAACATCCTGCCCATACAGCACCAGCAAGAATTTATGGGAATGTTCATCCTCCCCCTGTATGTCCTGTGCTCATGGAATTCTACATTTACTCATTAGCCACATTCCCAGCTTTCCAAACATCCTGCCCATACCTCAGAGGGCAATTTCAGATTC